TTTTCACTGTTTTCTCAAAGGGGAAAATAAGACAACATCCTCTTCTAGAAAAGAAATCATCATGATTTAGTTTATTCACCAAACATTTCTTTCAAATTATCATTTATCTCTTAAATGCAATGTGAGATGTTAGTACCTTAAAATCCACATGGAAATAGCAAATGAAAAGCAACATAAACAGGAGTGATTTGGTTCTTCCCAGGGCCTCCAGCTCTCTGGGTTTATCCTGTCTTTAATACCAACTGGCTGAAGTCTTCATCCTGCTCAGGAAAACCCTGTGATCACCATAATATTTGTAGGGCCTTGAAATGTGGAGAAGATTGTCATAGATAGGACCTTTAATTTTTCATCTTTTTAATTTCTAAATTCCTTCTTCCTGACTTTCAGTTGCTACTCATGATGTTGCCTCCTGAAGATGCTCCCTTTTCTCCTCTTCTTCCCCAAAACAGTGGCCATGGGTTCTTCACGTTCACTCCCTAAAACATTATTAATGTATGGCCATTGTGGATTACAAGTTTTATCAAATCTTTATGACAGTGAAGGATAATTACAGTACTTAACAGAACAGATACAAATTCAATTTGAAATGTGGTTTCTAAACCTTCATTGGCCATTTGCTACAGAGGCACCTGCGATTTATTGGCTGTATGTCTCCCTGGGTCCTGGCCTAATGACATGTTGCTGGGCTCCTTTCTCTCCCATGCCCTGTCCGTGAATCACAAGCAACTGAAAACATTTCAATTCTTTTACAGTTTTGTAAAAAAGTCAGTTCCCCACTTGAGCCAATTATTTTTCAATTATCCTAGCTAACAGACCTCCTCTTTCATGACAAAAACAACCATCAAAGTGCTTTCTGGAAAAAAAACATACAAAGCAACAGCCATCCTGAGAAAACTTTATACATCATCTAGATATAAAGCATACTCAATTTTCCAGAAGTAATGTTTACTCATACGATATTTAATGCTTATTGAATAAAAATAATAAAATGAAGTAACAATGTATACTAGAAAGAGAGGTAGACTTAAAATCAGAAGGTTATTAGTTTATTACAGGCTTTTTCATGAAGAAGCTGTGTGACTTCGTGCAATGAATATATATTGGTGGCCTATACTGAGATATTTTGAATGTATAAAACTAAATGTGAAATTTATGCCAAAAGAGGCAAATGCACAGTGTTTCCAATGACAAAATGGCTTATATTTAGTAAGCCTTATAGAACATTGTATATCTGTGAAACACTGGCATTTGAAGGAGATAAGATGTTGCCCAGGGGGGGATGGAAAGATAAGAGTAGCGACAGGTTTCTCATTCACGTGTGCGCTGGAATATTACAACACATTGTCATCCTCGTTTTATTTCACCTGATCATTTGAAGAAGATTTCATCTTTTCCAGGAGACAAAAAGAAACTCCATAATGACAATGGAAAAAACAGAGATTAAAACTTCCTTAACAGCCGGGCATGGTGGCTCACGCCTGTAATCCTAGCACGCTGGGAGGCTGAGGCAGGTGGATTGTTTGAGCTCAGGAGTTTGAAACCAGCCTGAGCAAGAGCGAGACCCCCTTTCTACTAAAAATTTAAGGAAATTAGCTGGACAATTAAAAATATAGAAAAAATTAGCAGGGTATGGTGGCGCATGCCTGTAGTCCCAGCTACTCGGGAGGCTGAGGCAGAAGGATCGCTTAAGCCCAGGAGTTTGAGGTTGCTGTGAGCTAGGCTGATGCCATGGCACTCTAGTCTGGGCAACAGAGCAAGACTCTGTCTGAAAAAAAAAAAAACAAAACTTCCTTAACTTCATCATAAAACAGGAAAAATAATGAAAAGGGGAAAAATGATGGGGGGAAAAAGAAAATCTATTATAAAAACATTGGAGACGTAATTGAGAGGATACTCAACTATCAACTTGATAAGAAACAGTAGGGAAACGATATTTCCTCCTAAACTATTGTAATAAAATACAGAGTCTCCCTGCCCTGTAACTACATGCACGGAGAGATCCTATTTCTCCTACTCAGGGCTATTCTCAGGGCAAATTTAACATCTTTGTTCCTCAAGCTGTAAATTAAGGGGTTCATCATGGGAACCACATTAGTGTAAAAGACAGAAGAGACTTTTCCCTCATTCATAGACCCAGCAGAAGATGGTTTGAGATACATAAATGCACCTGATCCAAAGAAGAAAGAAACAGCAACTATATGGGAACTGCAAGTGCTAAAGGCTTTGAACCTGCCCTCCTTGGAGGTAATTTGAAGGATGTTGGAAAGGATGCAACTATAAGAAATAAAGATGGTGAGACTGGGCACAATGATGTTGATGCCAACTACAATGAAAACTTCCAGCTCATTCACGTAAGTGCTGGTGCAGGAGAGCTGGAGCACAGGAAGGATGTCACAGAAATAGTGGTTGATGGTGTTTACATCACAGAAGGTCAATCTCAGCATGTATCCAGTGTGAGCCATGGCACCAGAGAAGGCCATCAAGTATGAACCAAGCATAAGGTTGCAACATACTTTAGGGGACATGGCAATGTTATACAAAAGTGGGTTACAGATGGCCACATAGCGATCATAGGCCATTGACATCGGCACAAAGCATTCAGAAATGACAAAAAAACAGTAAAAGTACAGCTGGGTCATGCATGCCTTGTAGGAGATAATGTTCTTCTCTAATGTGAAGTTCAACAACATTTTAGGTGTAAACACAGAAGAATAGCAGAGGTCTATGAAGGACAAGTTAAAGAGGAAAAAGTACATGGGGGTATGAAGGTGTGAACTCAGCCCAATTAGAGTTACCAAGCCCAAATTCCCCAACACAGTGACCAAATACATTGCTAGAAACAGAAAGAACAGGGGCATTTGGAGGTCAGGCTGCTCTGTTAATCCCACAAGAATGAATTCAGTCACAAAAGAGCCATTTCCAGGAGCCATTCTTCTCTAAGGGGATCTGTGGACACAGGAAAAAAGGATTGCATTAGAGGACAACCCAGCTCTTATACCACAAAGCTACTCCCATAAGAGCTGTGTATATGCTGGGATTGTGTGAGACTAACCCAACCTGGACCCACAGAATCTGCCGTTACCACTACCACCATACTAAGTGATACCAACTGCCTCTTAGAAGAGTCTTACTAAGCAACATACAACAAACAGCACCACCGACTTACCCTAGAGCATGAAGGGCAGAGCTGCCAGAGGCAACCATGACTGCTGGAAATAAGAGAGGACGAGAGGGAAGAACGGTGGACCAGGACAGAATCATCCTCTGCTCATGTCATCATTTTTGCATTCACTTCATCCCTCCCCTCACCAGTGAAATTGGAGGCAGAGCTTTTGGCAACTTTGTGCTGGCCTCTAATGCAGATTGGACTGCAGTGGGTGGAAGCCAAAACATTATTTCTAATCCAGAAATATGGGACCAGAGTGTAGGACAGGTTAAATCACAGCCCCATGTGACTGAATAAAAGCCCTACATCTAGAAGAGAGAGTATTTTGTCCGTGGAGAGGGAACTCACTGATTAGATACTGCAACCACTGGGTCCACTAATGTCTGGACGTTTTCTGCTTCCCCTTGAACAGATTCTTCCGGCACCTTCATTTGAGTCTCAGGACTGCATGACATAGGAAAGAAATTGGTATAACCTAGATTCCAGGATGTACATCTCAAAAAAAAGAGGACATTTATATGCATGGAATTCAGAAACTCACCCTCCTCAGACCACAAATCCTTGGTGCTTCCTTATTCTTGTCAGTTGCCACCATGGTCCTAGAAGGGAAATATCAGGTTCTGAGGCTTTGGTTGCTCTGATACTAAGAGGATGAGTCCACCTTTGATTTTCATTATGCCCTGGAAATTGCTATGAACTACAGATCATGATTTCTGTCTATGACTTTGAGCCCTCTCACACAAGAAAGACAAAGTCAGCGTTATCACCACATTTGCCACTAAATAAGACACAGTTTTCATGTGAGTTTACTGATATAGTACACTAGTTATAAACAGAATAGAAGTTTACTAGGTCCTTTCACCAGAGAACAAATTCTAGGAGTAAAAGGGAAATAAAGGGATTGTATTTACACCCTGGATCATGATCTGCAGTTCCTCAGGGACTCACAATTTTACTCAAGTCTTCCCTTCACCCTTGGGCTTGTACATCCCGCAAGACAACAAATATAAACTCCCATCTCACCATTATCATTATATCTGATGGGAATATATTGCTCTGGATATTTCTCTCCTTTTTCCCACTTCCTAAATGGACATTTCCACAGGTTCTACATTCTGTGTTTCCTTCATTTTTTATCTTAAATTTTGCTCACTTGAGTTGGGATTTCTCATAGGCTATATCATTTTTCTTTTTAATTTCTTTCTTTTGTCTAACATTTTTACTTCTAAACATCTACTGGAAATTTCTACCTGAGAATCTTGCTGGGAATTTAAATGTAACAACTAATTTAAAAGTTATTTAAATTCTCTGTGCTTCATGTTCAAAATTGCTAAAATAGGGATGGTGATAACAGCATCTCTTTCCTTGGCTTCCTATGACAATTAAATAAGCTACTAAAAGTCAAATAGTAGAGCACTGCATGGCACATGGCAAACAGTCAATAAATGTCAGCTGTCATTATTTACATTCCCATAACCTTGGTAGCTCCTCCACTCATATTATTTCTTTTTAATTCCTCTTTTCCCCTAAAAACAGTAAGTTCTCTAAGGACAAAGATCACTTTTGCTTTGCTTGCTACTTTGCTCCTGGTGCTAAGTACAGAGCAGAGCATATATTATAGTAGGAACTCCTTAAATGTTTATGGAAATCATGTTGCGTGGCTGAAAACCTTCAGAATCTTTTCCATATTTCTCGCATGCTAAGAACAGAGTCTACAAACACAGTGTCCGCCATCCCTTTCCCTAGGCTACCACACAAGCTCAGGTACTCTTCAGGCTTTAACTCAACTATACTACTGAAATGTAGTGGCTCCTAACTCTCGTTCTAGCATTTCCCCACATGCTCCCTCTTCTTTAGCTAGCTGCACTGCTGCTACAGTCAGATCTGAAAGTGAAGCTCTGTCCCTCCCCGGATTTAGAACATTCAGTGGTTCTCCATTCCCCACTCACTCTACCACTATCCCGGACATGTACATCAAAGTAATGGGCAATTCAGGCTATGTAATAAAAATATGAGTCTCAAAACTATGATTCAGCCAGATTTAAAATTAAAGAAGAAATTGTGGTATAGTTGTGGAGAAGCCGCAAAAGAACTGAGTATTTGCATATTTTAAGCACACGTTCATTTAAAAACCCATTTTAATTAGGAGAAGGTAACAATAATGCTGGAGATGGAGTGCTCTAGGTAGGTTCAGAAACTAAAGTCTCTAATTAAGGACCAGGCTCTTCTATTCCCATGTCCTCAGTCTGTTGGTCTCAGTCCTCAGGCTTATCACCTCAGGGTCACAAAATAGCTGCTGAAGCTCTAAAAACTGCATGAAAACACAACTACATCCAAAGAAGAAAGCCAGATTAAAAGACAAGAGAATTCCCTTCATGTATCTCCCTATATATTATGAAGTAAATCTTCTTGAAGCCAGTAGATGACTGTCCTTGACTTCTCTTTAGTTACGGGGTATGTATTATAATATGACCAGCCTAATTGCAAGGGAAAGTAGCAAAATGAATGTTTCCCATTTTCAGCATCTATCATGAAAGGAAGTTTCTGACATTAGAGAAAAATATAAAAGAATTATCTATTGGGTAGGAGAACAACATTGTCCTCACAAACAAAGAGCTTGTGAAAAATGTTTAAAATAGGATATTTTATTTATTCAGTTTAGCTAAAAATATACTTATTA